GAAGGAAGGAAGGAAGGAAGGAAGGAAGGAAGGAAGGAAGGAAGGAAGGAAGGAAGGAAGGAAGGAAGGAAGGAAGGAAAAGAAAACTCAACTGGAAGGTCAGCTATGAGTCAGTTCCAACTTGACAGCATTGAACGAATGAACGATCAGCCCAGGTGATGGGGATAGAGTTGGAGGGCTTTGGTTTTTATAAGGAAGCTTGTTAATTACTAGTTAGATGTCATTGAGTTGACTCAGTGACAATTCAGCAACCCTATGAACAATGAATATGAACCCTGCCCTATCTTGGTGCACCTGAACCCATTACAGTCACTGTGTCAATCCCATCTTGTTGAGCATCTCCTTTCTCTGACCCTCCACTTCTCCCACCATGACGTCTTTTTCCGAGGACTGGTCCTTCCTAACAACATTCCCTAAACACATGAGATGACATTTCACCACGCTTGCCTGTAAGGAACACCTTGGCTGCCCTTTCTCCAAGACACACCTCTTCATTTGTTTGGCAACCCATGGGCTATTCAGGACTCTTCTCCCACTCCACAACTCAAAGGCATCAACTCTTATTCTGTCATCTTTATTTGTTCTCCAGTTCTCAGATGCGTAGCAAGTGATCGAAAAGACCATAGCCTGAATCAGGCACACCTTAGTCCTCAAACTGACATCGTTGCTCCTCAGTAATTTGGAGAGGTCCCTGACTGCCCTTTCCCAGTGCAGTAGGTCTTTATGATTCTATTAGTCGCAAAGAGAGTCCTTTGTGCTTAACGTAGTATAAAGTGTTAAATTTTAAACTATCACAAGTTTTTAAAACAAGAAGCCAGTTTCGTACTGCTCTATTCTCGGCTATAGGGTGCTCAAGACTATAAACCATTATGGAAGCACAGTGACACATCTTTGTCCCATGAAGCAGACAGTGGATTTGAACCTGTGACATTCCAGTCACCAATCAAGCCCTTAATCACTACACCATCTGGACTCCTTTTTAAATTTTTTTTATTAATTAATGTTAATGAAAATTTACAGACACTTTGGACTTCCTTTCATTCATTGTTGCACTTTCCCCCCTGCCCAACCTCCCCCCGCCCAAATTCGCTCTTCTCTTTTAAAAGTAAGGGGAAAAAATTCTTTCATTGTTGTACAGTCCCTCCCCCAAAGTCCACTCCACTATGCAGCCTTCGTTCTGGACTCCTGTCATGACAATAATACCTAATTACATATCCTTTTAAACAGTTCTCTCCCTCATCTGTTTCAATGCAGTATAAATTATTGAACCCATCTTTCTCAGTCTCTCCCCAACCCCGATATCAGTCCCTGTTGACAACAGTGGCACTATGCAGTATTTGTCCTTTTATGACTGAGATATTTCACTTAGCATAATTTAAAATACTGGCCATAGGTGGTGTGTAGCAAGCACCTGCCCCCCCCCAAGTAAGTTTTTAATTTTTTTATTCTTGAAGTCGAGGTGAAACTTTACAGGCAGATATTTTCAACAACTGACGCACATTTCGTTTTGTGACATTGATTACAATCCCCTCAGTGTAACAGCACTCTTCTCCTTCCTCTCTGTGTCCCTCATTTCCACTCATACTTTCCTGCACTCCCTGCATTATGAGCTGTGTGGTTTTGGCAAATGCAGTCGTTCTGGACCCCTGTTCCTCCAGGTGCTTGCTATTTTTCCACTTAATAAGCTTGTGTCTTGTTTAGCTGAAAGCTGATTCCCTAGAGACCACCCACTGTGCTAAATGCTTTTTTTTTCACATATGCTAATTACGAGGGAGCTCAGGTGGTCTAGTAAGATGTTGGGCTGACAAACCAAAGGCCGGTGGTTCAGATCCACTAGCTGCTCCGTGGGAGAAAGATGGATAACCTCCTGTGCCATTTACAACCTTTGAAAAATCCACTGGTTCCAACTCAACACCAATGGGTTTGCATTTGAGTGTTTTAAGTTATCATAATGATTCTATATCTATGTTATGTCATAGACGGTCTTCAAAGCAATGAGGCAGATACTTCACTGTGCCCAATTTCTGCATGAGGAAACTGAGGCTCCAAGAGGTCACACAGCGATAGAGGCATTCTGACACAGCATTCTAAAGCAGAGCGGCTGAGAGATTTGAACCTCTAACTCTTTGCTTATTAGTCATACTTCTTAATCAGGGAACTCTGATGGCATAATCTATAAGGAGTTGTGTGTTACTAACTCAAAGGTTTTTCTTCTCTGGCTGTTCGAACTCACTGGGAGTTCCTCAGGAGAAAGATGGGAGATTTCTTCCTGTGCAATTTACAGGCCCAGAAACCCATTGGAGGGCCAGCTGTGAGTGGCTTCTGCCTCGATGGCAATGAGTTCTTTTACTTTTCTCTAAACAAACCACACAGCCGTAGTTTCAGTAACTTTTCTTAAGAGACCAGGTGACCAACTTCCTCCCTTCTCTGGAACAATTTTTTTAAAAAAAAAGATTTTATTGTGATTGGAGTCAAAGTTTACAATGCAAATTGGTTTTCCATACAACCATTCATAGCAGTTTGTTTTATAACATTTGCAATAACTACAGTGTGTCTTCACTCTTCCCACCTCCTCCCTATGATTCTCATTTCCATTAGCCCTTCTATCCTACCCCTTTCTGCCTTCTGAGTTTTATCCTTGGTCAAATGCTGTCCCTTTGACCTTGGTCAAATGCTGTCCCTTTCACCTTATATGGTTGGTTATTCTAAGGAGTGAGTTCTTCCTTGGTGTTTGGGAACAAAATATTAGTACCATTTTCATGTGCAGTATACACAGGGGAATCCATATAAGGAGAGGGAACAAGAGAGATGTGAACAGATGAGGAAGAGGAGGAGCCGGAGGGAGGAGGCAGAGGATAAAGAAGACCATGAACATCTGGATCAGTTGGAACGTATGGTTCTCTCTATCCAAGGAACGAATTTGCAGATCTGGGTGTAGACGGCTGGATGTTGGGCAGAGCCACAGGGGTAAACACCCCATGAAAGGATGCCGTGCAGGGTCTCATCACAAACCAGGGGGCCACCTGAGTCACTCTGGAGACGGGAGGAAGGAGAGAGAGCACATTAGCGCACCAATGTGAGAGCTAAATTTTATGGCTAAAGCAGTTATGGGGAAAGAGCTGGGGTCGAGGTACCTGGGAGCAGATGAAGTTGGGTTGGGGTCGGAATTAGATTGAAGGTTGGTGAGTGGGAATGGAATTGAACTTGGGGCTTTAGAGGTTGGATTGGGGCATGGAAACGGAGATGTGGTGCAATTGGGTTTGTGGTTCTTGGCAAGTCAGGAGATGGAGATGGGATGGGACTGGAGTTGAGAATGAGTTCGGTGGATGGTGTGAGGATGGGAATGGTGTTGAAGATAGGGATAAGGCTAGGAAAGAAGTTAGGGTTGGGATTGGGGGTGAGGAAATAGAAGCCAAGTTGGGGAAGGGATTGGAGTTGGGATGTAGAGTGGAGGATATTGTTGAGAAACCAGTTGGGACTGATGGGTGCTATGGTCTTAGGGACAGGGGTGGGAGTCCTCTATTTTTTCATAGCCACCATATCTTCTCTCCCATGATTCCAGAGACCCTCCCTGACCAGTTCCTACCTGGCAAGGATCTTGGCCCTGATCCAGTCCAGCACACATCATGTTGTTGGTGACCACGCCAGGGTAGAAGACATCACATTCCTTCTGGCTCAGAACATTGACATTGGAGCATCTCAGGCCCCTGTTGTACTTCACTGATGAGAAAGGAAGCCACGTAACTTCTGGGCTCAGCACCACACAATTCTAGACCCAGGAGTCCAGATTCTTTCCATCTCAGGAACCAAGAGCCGAGCCCAGCCCCTAGCCTCCTCCTTCTCCTCCTTTGGATCTAAGAACCTGAGCCTTTAGCTCACATCTCCCAGCTCTCACAGACCCCAGAGTCCAGGTCTCAATTCCCTCCTCCCTCAGACCCAGGAAGTCTCCAACCTCGCCTCCTTCCTTAGACCCAGGAGTCAAGACTTCCAGCTTCCTTTTTGCTCAGGGCCTCTCTCTTTCCTCTGTCCCTTTGTCCCCAAGACACAAAGTCCCAGCTCTTGCCTCTTCGAGCTGATGAGGTGCCCCAGCCAGCAATCTGACACTGCTCTCCAGGCTGGACACACTGGTAGGGCAGGCGCAGGGTCTGGATTCGAGGCCCCAACACTGCAGGTCTCCCCAGCTTCAGCAACATGAGGTCGTAGTCGTCAGAGCGCCTGGGAAGGATGGGGCCTGAGCCCTGCCGGTATTTGGGGTGGATGATGGAGAGAGTGGTCCGGCGGAGCTGTTCGCCCTGGAGGAGCAGCAGGTGGTCATCTCCTACCCGAGCCCACAGAGGCTTTCTGGGGGGAAATCACATGGAGGCAACTTAGAAGGGACTGAGATTGCACCCCTGGTATGGAAGGAGATAGTGGCAGAAATGGGAAGCACACATTTGAGGCCAGAGGGAGGGGCGAATAGGGTTCAGAATTCTGAGTCAGAAAGGAGGGACGGAAGGATGTAGGATTTCTGGGACCTTGTCAAGGATTGAATTGTGTCCCCCGAAAATGTGTCAATTTGTCAGGATCATGATTCTTAAAGTGTATGGTAGTTATGTAACGATGTAATACGGCAAATGAGTGATGATGTAATCTGGCATCTGAGTGAAGGTGTAATTTGGCATTTATGTGATGATGTAATCTCTCCTCATGAGGTCTCTGTTCTGCTCCAATGTAAGGGAACTATGGTGGGATGACTCGCCATTGTTCAGTCTATTTCAACTCATAGTGACCCTATAAGACAAAATAGAGCTGCCCCATAGGGTTTCCAGGGCTGTAATCTTTTTTTTTTTAACTTAATTCACTTTATTTCTTATACAAAATCCACTATGTGGTGGCCACAGCTGGAGCCTGAGTCCTCTGCAAGGAGACTCTGGTGTGAGTTTTTACAAGATGGTCAAGGCTGTAATCTTTAGATAGGCAGATTTCCCTATCTTTCTCCTTAGGGGCAGCCGAGGAGCAATACTTAATCTAGTCACAGCCCTGATCCAAGCTCCACATTCGGACCTCTAGCCTCCTAAACTGTGACACAATAAACTTCTGCTTCTTAACGCCATCTACGTGTGCTATTCTGTTAGAGCAGCTCTCAGTCATTACAGAGACAGACGACTGAGTCTCTGAGCTTGAGTTCTTCAGGAATTGAGGACAGGCGGTCAGGACAAAGCCCAACTCTCCCTCCACCCAGGGGTGGCTTATAAGGTGAACATTTTTTCTAGCTTCAAACTCCTAACTGCATTTGATCCTAATTGCTCTCAGCAGCACACAACTTTGTGGGGAGTCGCCTGGGCGTTTGGCTCCGTCTCTCTCATGGTGAGCTCAGATATGACAACATGACACACTGACATCTGTATGATGATTGGGGGGGCTCAGTTTCATTGCTGGAACTCCTGTGTCTTTTGAGGGCCTACCAGCTTAGATGCCCTCTAACTACTTAAGCACAATCAGAGTGTTCTTTAGAGTCAAGGTTTGTGACACTTCATCTCACTCTCTTATTTTTAAGAGGAACCAGTTCCTAGAAAGAGACATCATGCTGAGAGAGATAGAGAGCCAGCAAAGGCAAGGAAGACCCATGACAGAAAGCATGAGGACGGAGCAGGGCAGGGCAGCATTAGGTAGCTATGAATTGTGGCTGATTCTGCACCTAACAGCAACCACCACCAATGTAAGGAAGGCGCTTTGGTGGTGGTGTGGTTAAAGCATTCAGCTGCTAGCCAAAAGATCAATAATCTGAACGCACCAGCAACTCCAGAGGAAGCAGGCTACTTCTGTAGAGTCATAGAAACCAGGGCCCCCTGGAGCTGTCCTCAAGGTCCACAAGGGTGCTATCAGTCAGAAGAATGAACCCAATAGCTGTGGGTTTGGTTTTTGCTTTCCAACCCAAGGGGCTCATCGTCTAGTCTTGAGAATACTCCCATTTACCTAATTTGGGGGAGTACGCCCATCAAGCCTTTCTCCCTACTTGGTCATGGTGACACTTGTCCCCCATGGATGATACTGCTAATATTTGAAATGTTGATGGCAAAACTTCCAACACCATCGCAACACACAAGCCACCACAAGCTGAACTAACAAACTGCATCTCACTGTTGTTGTATGTTGTCGATTCTTATAATGACTCGATGTAACCAGAGTACAACAGCCCCTAGAGTTTCCAAGGTTGCAATTGTTACGGAAATTGTCACATCTTTCTCCCTTGGTGGGTTTGATAAGTCGACTTTCAGTTGACATTGGAGCACTTAATCAATTGCTCCACCAGAGATTGATTCTGTTTATAACTCTCATTGCGATCAAGACCACTACGACTTAAATGGAAACCAAGGACTATCTGATCAGCGAGAGATGAGTCCAGAAATGTGAAGAAGAACCACACCGCTCCCTGGTGGCCACCACGCAACCTCACCTCGCCCCCTGCAGGAGGCAGTGTAAGAACTGAACCCCTTATCTTGCTGGGAAAAGTTCCATCCCACAGGTATTCCAGATTTCCCCCCTTAGTCTCTCCGCAACAACTCCACCTACTTGTGGTTATAGCAGTGTGCGGCCGTGAGCACCCAGTTCTTGTCCACCAGGACGCCGGCACAGTGGAAGGAGAGGCCATTGAAGAGGGAGACCTGCCAGGCCTGCGAGCCGCGCGCGCACGGGGAGCTGTAGGTCTCGAGGTCCGTGTCGGTGTTGTTTCTGGGGAGCAGAGCTGCTTCCGCAGCTGGAGAGAAAGAGGGAAAGGGGGGCGATCAGAGCAGGGGGACGATCAGAGCAGAGAGAGCAGGGCAGCGGCTGGGTTTGGGGTCAGGGTAGAACTTTGCTTTGGGACTACAGGAGAAGAGGAGGTGAGGACACGCTCAGAACCAGATGAGCTTTAGGGAGAAATTGTGGGATCGCGCGAGAATGAAAGTCAGTGGGCCAAGACTTAAAAATCACTGGGGAAATGAAATAGGGCGGAGCTGAATATGGAAGGGCGGAGACAGAACGTAGTATGGTAATAAGAGGGCGTGGCCAGAGCGCGCAAATCGGGAAGGGGTGGGGATAGAGCGTTGTTGAATGAGAAGAGGCGGGGCCAGAACGCGGCGCGCAGGGAAGGGGCGGGGATAGAACGCCGCTGGAGGAGAAGGGGCGGGGCCAGAACGCTCAAGTCGGGAAGGGGTGGGGACAGAACGCTGTTGAATAAGAAGGGGCGGGGCCAGAGAAGGGGTACAGAGCAGGGGGCGGGAATAGGACACTGCTGAAGGCGCAAAAGCCACACAGGGGGCGGGGCCAGAACGCTGTTGAATGAGAATGGGCGGGGCCAGAACGCAGCGCGCAAAGAAGGAGGCGGGAATAGAACCCCGCTGAATGAGAGGGGGCGGGGATAGAACCTTGCTGGGTGAAAAGGGGCGGGGACAAAACACAGCGACCCGTAAATGGGGCGGGAATAGAAGCGGTGGGAAAAATGAGCGGCACCAGAATGCAAGGAATGGAAGAAAATTGTGGATGGAGAGGAGGGGGGATTAGAACGGAGAGGAACGAGGAAGGGAAGGGTATACAACGTGGTGGGGCAAGAAGGAGACGGATTTAGGATGCAGGAGAAAGGAGAAAAGGACAGCGCTCAGAGACAAGCGATAGGAAAAGAAATGAGAGCCCTGGAGCAAAAGAGAAAGAGACGGTCACCAAAAGCTACAAGGACCGAAAGAATGTTAAGAGATGGAGAGGCAAAAGGGAGTTTGTTGATTGTTGAATGGTGGTGGCGCAGAAAGGTCGCGAGGTCGCAAGGGAATGGGGGCGCAGCTGAGTGAGGGGGGCCTCAGCTGAGTTGGAGGAGGGGAGCTAACCCTGCTCCAGGCTCCAGGTCACGAGGTGTTTCTTGGGACCCTCCCCCCAAGAAAAGAAGTGCAAGAACATATCCTGTCCACTCTCCACTCCTTCCCCCCGCCCCCAGGGTCTCTCGTGGCCCCCTGTCCCCCGCCTCACCCCAGAGTTGCGCCATCAACAGCGGCACCAGCAGCTTCTTCATGGCCTGAGCTCCAGAGGCAGCGGAGAGGTGGAGGTGCGGGAGTCTCATGTCTAGGAAGGGCGGTGGGGGGCCCGCAGGATGGGGTGTTAGAGACTCCTGCCTCCTCATTGCCAACCCACCTGCTCAGCCTGGAACCATCACCGCCCAGGGGTCGGGGTGGAAGAGGGAAAGGGGATCTTGAACCAGAGTCCTTTGGGTACAAGAGACATCATAGGGGCAGGAGGACCCGAATGGCTGATGGGCCCGATTTATTGTAATGGGAGCAATTATTCTAATGACTCCCCTCGTGGCGTCCTCGCGTCCTCCCTGTGCCCCAGGGGACTCTGGCAGTCCCGGTGCGGGGTGCGCGGGCGGAGAGGGGGGAGGTAGGCTCATCGTCACAGGTAAGGAGTAGGAGATTCGATTTGGGAGCTGGCAGGGGCAGGAGCCGCTAATCCGCCTCCCAAAGGTGGGGAAACTGAAGCTCACCCAAGTCCCTTGCCTGCGCCCCGAGGTTCCACACCCATCCTTTCTCGATGCTCCCCAACTTGGGTGGGGCGCATCCCACCTCACCTGGGAAAGAGGGAGGGGACCCAGAGGTTCCTCTGCCCTGCCTGTGGGTTGCTTCTGAATCCTCTGCCCAAGGACCCCAGGCCGGGCCTTCCCTTTTAACTCTGAAGAGCCCGGAAGCTTTCCCACCCGCCCCTCAGGGGCTCACCCCCTCCTTTTCCCGCTCCCTAATTATACTTTGGGTGGGGCGGGCACCCAACCTGGGCCCAGATTCCTGTCCTGGGAGGGGCCGGGAATACAGGCTTCTCCCTGTGCTATGCCCTGAAACGCCCTACTGCGGCCAAATCTGGGGTGGGGGGGGTCCCCCCATCTCTTTGTTCCAAGAAGCCTCCCCCCCCGCCCGTGGGACGAGTGAGTAACAGGTCCCCAGGGGACTTGAGGGTGGCAGGGATGGCGTTGGAGACAGGTGACGGAGAGAGAGGAAAAAGAAAAAAATCAACAAGGAAGCACATACCTCCCCTGAACAAATAAAAGCCAGATTGTTGAGGGGGTGGCAGGCAGGTGGAAATAGATTGAAGGAAAGAGTGGGAGAGACAGAGACTGGCTCAGTGACAGAGATAAGAGAGGGAAGTAATAGGCATAGAGGGATGCTGGGAAAAGCCAAGGCCAGACAAGGCTAAGAAACACAAGAACAGGAAAAGAGACACGAAGTCAAAGGAGCTGCAGATGCAGGGTATGGAGAGGGCTGGACTCTGATATGCGTCAAACACTGAGCTGGACCAGCAGGATCCATGCATGTGTATCTGGTGGATAGATAGATCCCTCTGGTGATTAAGGTGCTCCCTTCCACCTGTGTGTGGCCACCTTGGCCTCCCCATCACCTGTGTTGTCTCTGGGTGACACTCAGGCCCATGAATCACAGGACACCTGGATGGAGCCAACTCCCTCGTTTCAGTTGAGGAATGGAAAGTTCGGAGATGAGTGATGACTCATCCAAGAAGGGGCCACGCAGTAAATCATCTGAACAGCTGTCCAAACCCAATCCATTACGAACAATCATGTAGGAATGAATAATACTAACCCCCCATTCCCGCCCAGCCACTGAGTGTCCAAGGCTGGAGTCTTGACAGAAGTCCAGACTCATATTTCTCTTTTGAAGAGGCTAGTGTACTTGAACCGCCAACCTTTTAGGTAGCATTTCATTGTCTAAATCTACTGTACAATTCCCGACCTTTGTGCCACCTTCCTCCCTCTGCAAGGCCGAGCAGAACCTTGAGAAATATCCAAGGGAGCTCTGGCTTACCCGTTGCATGGACTGGTGGTTGGATTCTCCATTGAGCACGAACCCCAGAATTTGTACGTAACTTTTTCTAGCGACAGAAATGCTCAGTATTTTCTGTCTAACTCTGTCGTCACCTGCCATACATGGCCAGTGACCATCTGAAAGGTGTCTGGCTAGAGAATGAGGAGCTGCAGTTCTGATTTTCGTTGCCATTTAAACAGCCCCACGTGGCGATGGGCTGCCCAGTGGGCCAGCAGCACAGATCTGATGAGTTAACTACTACCTGTTACAAAGGTTGGAAAAATTCCTGATGGTGTTCTTCTACTAAGCTGACTCTGTGACAGACACTGGACTTTGCATCTACACACAATTTTAAAGAGAGGGGAAACTCTGCTTTAGTCAAGGACGTGTTGTTTATAGTTAAAAGGCCACATTCAGCTTCACTTCCTTGTTCTTCTGCTTAAAGGTTTGTGACCATGACCAAGTGACTTTCTATGTGTCCTTCACAGGTGTGCCCACCTCTGTGAAGACTAAATTAATGGATACATTTAAAATCTCCAAGACCAACTTCTGGCACTGTTAAGGATATTAAAGGCTAAGCACTCAAAAAATTCATTCACCCAGTAAATGTTTATTGAACCCTTGGTGTGTGTCAGGAACTGTCTCAGGGACTTGGGATACAACAGTCAACAATACGAAAGAACTGGTATCGTTTTCTGGAGTCACAAGTTAGTAATGGCCAAGATTTGAAGCTAGGCCTTGCTGATCCCAACTTCCACGTCCGTTCCAAACCTCATTCCCCTCTGCAGCGAAGGAGGCCATAAAAATATAGAGTCTTGGCATCGTTGGCTTGGACCCGACTCAGAGCTGAACCTCCAGCGGGTTTTCAGACGCAGTAAAATCACACAGGAGGAGATTGCCCATTTTTCTCCTGCAGAGCAGCTGGTGGATTTGAACCGGGTGCTTTTGGGGTGGCAGCGCAACTCCTTTCCACTAAGCCACCAGAGCTCCTGATTAAATTAGTCCCATAGTATTTAAAGAATGAACAAGAACCAGATCACCAAGTAAGGATTAAGGTTGTTGGGCTGTGGCAAGCTGGTGCTGGCTAATTGCTTTTCATGGTCTTCTGGATCCAGTCCACGTATTTGCATACTTTTGTATAAACACCAGGCTTTTTGCTAATAGCACATGGGTCCTGGCCCCAGGAGATAATGCCTTGTAGAGAACCGTTACAGACCAGAGGTCCCCCAGAGTCGCCCTAGGAATGAGAAGAAAGAAGGCCAGTCAGAGGAAAGGGAAAGGGTTGGGCATAGTATTATTACGTAGTAGATTAGACAAGTATTGGGATTGAGGTTAAATCTGAAAATTGAGTTGGGATTAGTGATAGGGTTGGGTAGGAGCTTGGAGTTAGGGGTGGGAATAAGGGTGGGGTTAAAGCTCAAAATTAGTTTGGGCCTGGGAATGGGGGCTGGGGTAGAGGTTGCATTGAGGTTGGCCATGGGAATTGGGAGTAGGGATGAATTTGGAAATGCAAGGAGAGGTGGAGTTGAGACTTAAGCATGATTACAGACGAGGGATAGGAATGCGGCTGGAGACCCAGGCCCTTGCCCGCTGACCTGGCACGAGTCCTTGCCCTCTTTGCGAACACTGGCACACACCATGGTGTCTGTGATGTTGCCGGGATAGGCCTCCTCACATTCCTTGTGGTCAATGATGGTGATGTTGGCACATCGCAAGGAGTGAGGCAGATGCACTGTGGAAACAGCCGGAGAAAGTGTGGGCCGTGGGGGTCCCCTTCCCCCTACAGTGAACCCTCTGTCTGGAAGGATTCCCTCTCCTCGTTTGCAGCCAACTCTTTTCTCGGCTTGGAACACTAGCAATAATAATAATAGCATTATCGAGTAAATTCTTGATGCTCTATCAACAGGCTCTCTGAGGCCACCTTGGAAAGTAGGTGTAACGATTCTTAGTTTAGAGGGTAGAAAACCGAGGTTCAGCAAGGTGAAGCCACTTACTTAAGGTTCTGCCACCACCAAGCTGTAGATCTGGGGTTACGCGTTGTGTTTGTCTAACTCTAAAGCCCAAGCTTCTGCCTCCACCCTCCTCAGCCCTTACTTTAATACTCTTCATTTCAAATTATCCCACCAATGACACCCCCAGCTAAACTTCTCTTATGTTATGATGATTCTCACTCTTAAAAGTTCTTCTTGTTCTCGGAATCTTCCCAATCATCACACACACACACACACACACACACACACACACACACACACACCCACCCCTGCCACGACCCCCAATGTTCCCCTTTGGAACCCATACACTGGGGGCTGGATGTGGTGCCCCAGCCAGAAATAAGGCAGCGGGTGCCAGCAGTAACACAGTGGGATGACAGGGTGAGGGGTCGCACTGCCCGAGTGATGAGAGCTGGCCTCCCCATTTTCACCAACATGATGTCGTTGCGGTGGTCTTTGTTGGGGAGGCTGTTGTTGTACTCTGGGTGGGGGAAGGACTCGGTGGCTGTCCGGGTCTGCTCACAGCCATCCTGTTCCTGCAGATTGTGCTCTCCTAGGTGCACTATGTAGTGGCTGAGGTAGGAGAGATGACGGTCAGAGAGGAAAAGGCAGGGAGAGACATGAGATGCGGATGTGGGGGTGAGACACGACAGGAGAATTAAGCGATACCCGTGATAGGGAGACACATAGCTCCACTTCCAGCCTTGTTCCCATCTGCTGCCTACACGCCCCCCCATCCAAGATCTCCCCAGTGCAATACACAATCCCGCTCCAGTGCCAGCATCATCCCTTACCACTCCATTTCAGCATTCCATTACCTTTCATCTCACCTGGACCCCCACCCATGACCAACGCAAAGGCTGACCCAATGCCATCTTTCAGCCCCACCCTTCACCCTCCAGACATGCCCCCCCACCCTCGGCCAACCCATTGACTCTGCTCTCTCTCCATTCATCTCTGC